TAAAAAAACCCAACAACAAAAATGTATGTTAAAATAATATGGAACAGAAAGGAAAAACACCATTAAATTTTGTCAATATGTGCGCTAAAAGCTGGCAGCAACACCAAGATGTTCTTTTTAATCTTCAATGATTCAATCAACAGAAAGTTAGAAACTGTGACCCCAGTTATGTTATTTTGGTTTACTTTAATTTGGTCTAACATCCATGATTTCTTATAATAATTAAGAAGATAGGCACTTGTGGATATTGGCACAAATTCTTCAACCTTCACAATAGGAGCAACCAATTGTCATCAAGTAGAGCAATTGAGATGCCCCCACACATCATGAGGTTGTGTCTTTTTTTCATCTAATTCTAATGCATTATCAAAAATCATGCTGAGTCAAGCCAACTCATTCAAGGTCCATGTTGAAAGGTTGATAGGGGGCATGTAGTGTGGGTTGCACATAAACACCATTGGTGGGTCCCACTGTAGTCTACTGTATGTAAGTTTCAGTAAATTTCTGATTACAACATCAAGTGATCTAGTTCTGTCATATTCGAGTAACTTCAGTCACCACTTTAACTTCACCATGCAATTGTCATAAGTTAACAATCATAATGTGGCATTTGGGAAAGTAAGGATTGAGGAATCAAAGAACAGTAAGTGTTACTTTTCTGCTAAAACAGACACTAGTAAATCAACTCCTTTTTGTCAAATGGATAAAAGGGTATCTTTATTTTTCATGAAAACTGAAATTCAACCAATAATTACTGTTAAAAAAACCATCTTTCTCAAAAATTGAACAAAAAGAAACCTTTTTAGTAACAGAGGAGAGAAATTAAGAGAGAAACTTGCCTGAAGAGGAGAGATGTGAGCCATGAAGAACTGATCAGCAGAGATGTACTGCTGGTTAAGCTTAGGACAAGTATCAGAATCAGCCAAACAAGTCCTTATCTTCTGCCAATTCCCAGAGTCCGTGACATAGTCCCTAAGCCACTTGGAAAACCCATCAAGCCTATACTCTCGATAGGCCCTACCAGGCACAGAATAGCTTCCATCAGGCCTTGTAACAGTGAAAGCGAAGATGAGCAGCACAAGGATCAGGATGATGAGGGCTGCCATGCAGAAGAGGTAGAGAGCCAAGAGACCCTGTTTGTTAAAACAGGCACCAATAAAGCCAGCAAGAGAGACAAGCAACATGAGAGCACCAAGAACAAAGACTGGCCAGCGAAAAGAGTGGATGCACTCGTTGTCTGGCTTTGAGGCAAGCCATATGCCTGCGGCCATTATTGGGATGGCGCAGAGGAGGGCTATGAAATTGAGAATTGCAGTTATTTTGTTGCTCACTCCCATGGTGGAATAATTTTTGGGGAGTGGGAGGGTTAGAGAGAGTGAGAGATGGGATGTGATTGTGTTTGGGATAGCAGGTGGGGGAAGGGGTTTTGTGTTTGCTTTGTTAGTTTTTGCTCTGTTTTGGTGTGAATTGTGATTATATATGCTTTGGGATTTTGTGTGCAATTAGGGCTTTGATCTTATTGGCTAAGGTAGATCAGATGTTCTCTTACATCCCAGAAGATACGTCTTGTTCACTCTTATCGAATGCTCTTAGCAAAGTTGTCAAAGAGCAGTGTAACAAATAGTCCCATTATGTCAATATCATCTCAATATGTTGATATCATTCCATTAGTCCGATAGTAAACAATCAAAATAATTTTGATAGTCCTGTAGTCCAAGATATTTGTGGTCACTCACTGTTAGATGTAAATTCAATGGTTCACTCACTTTTGCATTCCTTTTAAGAAACTTTTTTGAACCGTTAGATCAATATCCAACGAGAAGTGACCACAAATCTTTTGAACTCCTCTGGTCTAAGAGATCAGAGCTAATAATTTTGATTTGATGTAAATAAAGTATTTTTATTAGGCATAGTTTCAATTTTTTACTGTATTGTTAAAAGTATTATAAGATGTGTAACGGAGAGCTAAAATGGTCAACCTGCAAAACTTATCTGTAACCGACGATTATGTCTACATCATCACGGCACGTGGTGATATGCAAATTTTTCTTCTTTTTAATTATTAACTAGTTTTTTCAACTTCTACTCCATCTCCTTGTAGCAAAAGTAAAAGAGAAACTTTCCTTTTAGAAGAGATTAATTTTTTTGTCAATGCTAATGACAGTAACTTAAAATTCACGCGAATTGACACACCCTCTGAAGCTTTGATCTCCGTATCAAAATTTATAAAGTTTACGACTTTACTACATGCCGTTGAAATTACCCGAAACAAAAAGTGAATGAAACCGCGTTTCTCAGAAGCGAGTATACCAAGAGCCACAAGCGAAAGCGCATTTACCGCGATTATCAACACGCCGCCAACCGCACTCAACAAAACAGCACAAGCCACCACGTGGCTTGGATTTGATTGGTCCTTGGAAATATCCCATCCCAACTCACGAGAAATTTCCAAAAGGCCGTGTTTGGCAACAAGTACAAACAAAAACTGATACTCCAATCATCTGTTAGTTAAAAACGAACATTTAACTTTCCCGCGTCTTCTTAGACTCTCAAAACCCCAGAACGCTGAAACCTCCAAAACCCAACACCAGAGCAAGCGAAAATGGAGCAATGGGTCCCGCTCTTCGACATCTTCTTGACCTCCCCAACTCCCGAGTCCGAAGCTTCTACATGGTTAAACCAATCTTTCAGTGCCTCATCGTCAACCTCGACCCCGATTACCACAGGCTCTTTCCTCTCGTTGCTAATGAAGCCTTTGGATTCGATTGTCGTCGATGAGTCTTCTTCTTCATCTTCGGCTTGGCCTCCGTGTACAAATAGGTGATGGGTTGAAAACCAATTGCTCTTTTGATATTTTTCATGGGTTTTGGCGACTGATAGTGAGTTTTGATGAACAGGGTGATGTTGATACAGACTCTACCGAACATGGTTCAGTCGCGGGTTCTGTCATTTCTTTGTTTTGAACGTCAAAGGTTTTCAGGCAGGGATTTGGCTAAGCTGGCCAGGACCGTTTTGAGTGGAAGTCAGGAGCTTGACTTTTGGGTACAGAGGGCTGCACGCAATCTGCTCGATGTAGTGTCTGAGTCAAGTTACGAGTGGATTTCTTGCTTGAGTTTGGATTCTGGGGAGGATGAGTTTGAGTCCTTGCCGGGTTGGCTTAAGGATTCCGCTGCTTCCAGTGACTTGGTTCTACCATGGCTTCCTATATCGCCAGAAGAATTGGATTGGAGGACAGTGAATGGTAATTATGAAAATATCTATGGCTCATTGAGTCAAGTTGGAGAGGGTGAAGATGAGGATATGAATGATGTTCTGGAGGAAATGAATATTGATAATCCAGAAAGTGTTCATCTTGAACCTGAAATTAAAAAAAGGGCAGTAAGTTTGAAAGCCCGGGTTGTGGATTTTCAATCAACTTCTGAAACTGTAGGATTAGCGAAAGAAATTCGTGAACTTTGCTTAGAAAAAGGAGGAGATTCTTTCACGGTTTTGGGTCTGATTGAACCTTGGTTAGCTGATGATGAGACTGCTTCAATTCTATTATCTCATCTAACAAGTGGAAATGAAGAAGAGCTTACTTGGCCAAGCCAGGTTCTGTGCTCGATCATCCTTCCCAAGTTGTTGGCTCTTGAGGAACCAGCTTCTCGTGTGCTAGTGACTGCAACAGTAGAGTACTGCAAGCTTCATCAAAGGGCCAGTGAGTATGCACTCTTATTTCCACTAATTCTTCGACGGGATGGCATCAACAACCCCATACATGATGTGATCACGAGGATCATCAAGGAAAGCTTGCACCCAGCTCATGTTGCTTCTTTCTGTCAGAAGCTGCTGTGTGGAGAAAAAGATGAGAGGAAAGTCATTTGTCTTCCTTGCCATCAATATCTGATAACTGATATAATGGTATGGACAGAATCATTTTTTAACCTGCTCCAAAGCATTTTGAATCATAATGTTCATTTATCACAGAATTCAGTTGACCAAATTATTTACCAGGTTCAGCAATTGGCTGAAAGATTTTCCAACTCTCTGAAATTTGGGAACTTTTTGTTATGTTTTGTCACCAAATGTTCTCCATTCTTGAAGCATCACAAGCTTATATTGACTAGAGTAGTTGAGCATAACAAAACGTTCTTAGCCAAATCTATATTAGGTAAATTGGCTGGCTTGTAGCTTTGATTAATTGTAATTCTTTGGATGAGTTTTTGTGCTGTGAGCCTGTTTCTATGAATGTACATTTTGAACACCATCTAGATCTTATATCAAAAGCTATTTTTCACGTGAATGAGCTAGTTTGTGGGAAAGTTCTACTGAAATTTTAGTCTTAGAGCAAGCCATTTTAAACTATTGATCTTCATTCACTAGCATTATCTAAGCTACTGGTTTTTCTGTTTATATTGAATTATAGTTATGTTTTAAACCATTTAGGTATTCAAGTAATGTTCAGAAAGCAATTATGCTACTGTAGTGGTTGTGTTTGACCTGCTTGGTTATTCTTCTCTTTTCCGTCATAATAACCTTTGTTCCTTTTACTCATAAAACATGAATACGAAGAACTATAGGAAATTTACTCTGAGCAGGCCCAAAGGATATCCCATAAATCAGTTTGGATGAATTGTTTCATTATGTAGGCCACCTACTGTGAGTAATATGTTGGGCGCTGTAGATGTGTATCCTATAAGCCAGTGTCGAGAATTAATTCGATACTATGATCTAGCTGGGATAAAAAGCTATATGGTAACAAGGTTATTTTTGTCCTCATTTGTAAAATAGTTTATTGATATCATAAATGAAATTATCAATATCTATATACAACACTGATGGTATATCCCTCAACAAGTCTTAATCATATTAACGAAAGAGAATCGATAAAAACATATATTGCCTCATCTTGAAAGCATAAGAGATACCATTATTTCTATTAAGAACTCCCCAAACAAACAGAAAAATAGAAGCAAAGAAGAGAGAGAAAGAAATACATTATCCAGTTGCCAAGCCTCTCCTTTTTTTTCTCTTTTTTTTTTCCTCTCTCTCTGATTGGTCTTTTATGTAGATGACATAACATCAAATAAGGAAAAAAAAAAAAACCCACGAGTGAGGGACGCAAAATTTATTTAATTTCCACTTTTAGGAAAGGAACCTGTTATGCAATTTGTTTCATGGACTCAAATCTGCGGCCCTTGTCAGAAAACTTTGTGGTAGCATAAAACTTCAGGTAATCTTGAAAGCGGACATGATTGGGGTATAAGAGTCTGGGAGCTGGTGAGATAATTGCATCACCAGCAGGATTATAGAAGGTAGCAATGGACAGTCGACTTCCATTTTTGTCCGCCATGACACGGTGCAAAACACTTTTGTACCTTCCATTACTCAACACTTCCACTTGGTCACCTATGTTCACAAAGATTCTGTTGTTCTTGGATGGTGGAATTGCAACCCATTCTCCATCTTTGAAGAATTCGAGACCTGGAACTTGGTCATCTTGGAGCAAGAGTATGATCCCACCAGCATCAGTGTGCTCCCGAAGTCCTCTAACAAGTTCTGGCTGAGGACATTGAGGGTACTTTGCAACTTTTGTCCCCACAGAAGGACCCTTGCCAGCACAGAATGCATCCTTTATATAACCCTTCTTCAAACCAAGATTCTCGCACATGAGCTCAGAAAGTTTCTCTGCCATCTTAATCAGCTGAGGAATGTACTCATTCATTGTTATGCTGCACATATGATTTGAAGTGTCATTTTACAGTGCATAAGTTATGATTTCTTCCAATCCTATGGTTAAGTGACTTACCGAAGATCGTCTGAGAGGTTTGGAATATCTTCAATATTAGATGTGGGGCGATGCCAAATGAAAAAGGAGCTTTCCCAGTCTTTTTCAGAGGTAATATCTTGCTCTAAGCTTTTAGCCATCTCTGACTTATAAAAGCTCTCTTTCAAATTTTCCTCATAGTATTTATTTATCAATTGCTTCACTTTCTCCATCAGCTGTTTATCAATTCCATGGTTCTCAACCTGCAAATGTTAAGCAATATATTTGTCAAAACGATGTGAAATTGATGTCCATTTAGTTATGAAAATAGAAAAAGGAAAGGAAAAACAGAATTTTCTTTACTTGAAAGAATCCCCATTTCTCACAAGCTTGGTGCAGAAGATCCATCGTTTTGCTCCTTTCTTCCCCATTGAGCTCACCAAAGTCTATCACAGGGATTCCCATCTCTTTCATTTTCTCTAATCCTGATGTAGAAGATAGGTTATACAATGGAGTATATATAGGCCCAGAAAATATCATAATTACCAATATTATAATTACATAGATAGAGGGTAGTTAGATTACAAGATGTGGCAGTTACAGATTAACCTCGTTGAAAGGAGACTTGCTTGGATGCCTTGAAAAGAGCAAAATTTCCAGTCCAAGTTCAACTGTCAAAAACCCCATGTGAATATTTTTTTTCTATAATCTATTCTGACCAAGAAGTCAATCAAGATCTTTCTCGTAAACAAAGTCTTGTTTCTTTCATTCATTTTTGCAAGCAAAAAACTTTCCCTGATTAAGTTAAATTATCTCTCTTGTAACCCCATGTGTTCATATGGTTTCTGTCAAGTGGGCTTTATTATATGCATATTTTTGTAGGGCATTACTCTGGTCAGTTGTTTTTGCATTGTAATTCTTCGTTTAAGCAAAACTAGGGGCAGTTTGACCCTGAATGAATTGCCATTCAAACAGGGAAAGAAAAACTGGGGATTGAGAAACTCTGACAGTGGGCGCTTTTGTCTGAAAGTTGTTGCCGGTAGGTATCAGGCAATTAGATACTTCCAAGTCAAGCCCGCAACTGAACCATAATCACTATTAAGAAACGGTTTAGTTAGTAACCCTTGTGATTATGCAGCATGTCATGTGTTTTGTTTAATAAGGATCTAATTTGAACTTAATTTGAGAACTTATATATCTGCCCCTTGATCAGATATGGACAGCTAGGATGTATATCGACTGTTCGTATCTCATTTAATATGCAAAACCCTGAAGTTAAATTCTCATCAATTAAATTGCCTATTATAAAATTGTTATAGGCTATCTCTTGCAGATGTGAAGTAGCAAATTGTTCGCATGTTCAGCAGCATATGTTGAGTTCCAATCCTTGGCTTGCAGTAACAGTTAATTGTTGTGATACATCAGAACAGCTTGATGAATATCCTAAGTTAAATGTGCTATTACATTGTATCGCGCCCACAGATTTCATTTGCCAAATTTCGTGAAGTATTTTTCTTTGTAAGCTTGTCATTTTGGAGATCTGTTTATCCTTGTAAATGTTTTATGTCCATATTTTGTGTGGTATCTACAGACAACATATTAAATTTAATCCTCTGAGTTGTGTTGTGCCTTAAAATATTTCAAAGATCATTCCCAAGAATGCATCAAAGGGCGGCCCATGCTTGAAGGTACTGGAAACGAAGCAGATACAAGTAGCTTGGTTGAAGGGGTTAGACAGCAACTGTGTGAGAGCAAGTGGAGGTTAAAAATAAAATAAATTGTTATGTACGAAGGAATTTTTTGACATATTGCATTATGATTTAAGAAAACAAAACAAAATATCTATATTAAGAAAAACCTGCCAGTAACATTGGCCCAAAATCGATACGATCAAATAACATTGACCATTTAATCCAATTATTTAAATAAAAAAAATGCAAAAATACTGCTAGACATTGAAAGTCAAGTTCCATGGCAATCCAAAAAGTTTTGGGAACCTTTATTTTCTAATGTCCGTGTTTATTATCATTCACGTTACTCCAAGTTGTTGACCCAAAAAAAATCGTTACTCCAAGTTTTAATTTCTTTGAAGACTGTCTAATACTTAGACTAGTTGAGAGATTGACTTAGTTTTTCTTGCTCTAGCATATCTAAAAGTCAGAAGACACCCCAAAACCATCAACTTTTACTTTGCTTTGTTGGTTTCTGACCTTACAAGTCACTTGGCTCTCAATTGTTTGAGGGAGAATTTACATTGGTGCAAGATGTCAAGATTTACAAGTTATATCGTAACAGAGAAGAACAATCTTCCATTCTGATGGTAAAGATTGACCAAATGATAAGTAAATTCTTGCTTACTTCATTTAATAACTTGCCCATAGTATTTGAAGGGAAGGAAATTAAATGTCTATCAGAATACACGAGGAGAAACACTTAATTCAGGAGAACCGTAGCTCATACTTTTAAATGACGATTTTCCATATTTAGCGGCGTTTTACGAGCTTTAGTGACGAATTTTATGTCTTTAATTGTACCGTCTTTAGCGACGTTTTATTCTGTTGCTAACCGTCGTTAAACGTTGATAAAAGGTTTTTAGAAGCGGTCTGAAAAACCGCCGGTAAATGTTGAAAAAAATATTGAATCATCCCTTCCTACCCTTTGGGCAGTGTTTTGTTCATTCAGCAACGCAATTTTAGAATCTCCGCATGTTTGGAAAAAAAATCCATTTCTCATATGGTCCATATTTATATATATTTGTCAAAATTTGCGCAAATTGAAGTCTTCTTTTTGGTGTTTTACTCTGATGAAAAGATTGTGCAGACATTAAATATTTTTTATTTTCATTTTAACATCATTTGATAACCTAATTAATGGCAATGGAAATAAACAACTAAATGAAATCACTGAGGGATAGTATTCTCGGATCAAAAAGAGAGTCCAATAACCAAAGGGTCTCGTACGGACTAGTAGATGTACTCGTTTCGAGCAGATTTCCACCTCAGAAAATAGCAATAAAACAAGCAGCCAAAGTGCTGAAAAAAAAAAGAAAAAAAAAAGGCATCAACATATCACAAAAGCAGACTAATGCCAAGGTTAAAAATCACAATGGGCATACGAACGAGCATTAGAAGGCACCAGAACACCAGGTGAAATAGAACTCCAAAAGCTATCAAATAACATACGAAGCACAACATAATACACTGAATTTGATATCATGCCAAATACAACCAACCAGAATGAAGTAGCCGATACACACCAACAAAGCATGAGATGGGAAACTCAGACGCAGATTGTTATGAAGGTCCGAAATGAAAACGATCCACGCATTACAGCTCATTTTCATAATATGACTCGAGCAAAACGCAGTAAGAAAAGCCTCAAGATGTAAAGGATTCAACATCCCCAGAACTTAAATTTATCCAAGAACTTAGATTTATGCTTTCCTTGCTGCAATGCTAGTGTTTGTGTTATTTGAAGATACAATTTCAGTTCTTTTTTCTTTTTTGTTGACAGCATTTATGCTGACACAGTGATGCCAAATACTTCACCTCCAACTAGTCAAGGAAAGAAACCATATAAAAACAGAGCCCAGAGGTCAATCTGAAAACTATCCTTAGGGAATAACTTCTTGGTTATATCAAACATTTTGAAACTTCATTATCATTAATTAAATTGAAAAGGGTGACCTAATCTTGAAATTGTGAACTTTAAAGAAGCAGAATCAGGGAGCTCTCTAAGACATTCAAGGAAGGTAGCTTATTGTGAAGAACTGATACTTCTAAAACTAGTTTTTAGTTGTTCACATACCACATTCCACTTCCTAAATATTTCAGTTCAAGAACATGGGGTGGCACCGCAGTGGAAAAGTGGGTCAAACTCTCCCCTCCCCCCAAAGTGCACTCGGTTTCGATTCAAGTAGTTGAAAATCTTGTGGCAACCCAATATAAATTAATACTCCCCCTTCCTCCTCCCTAGTGAATGACAAAAAAAAATAAAATCATGTTCTAATTAATTTATGACCTTACTTTCTTCTTCTATCCTTGTATTGGACAAAACACAGGTAAAATTACATGAACTTTTCATCTAATTAGCCATTTATTTGCTGCTTATCTAAATATCCTTTCCAGAAAAAAACCGAAGGGTTCTACTTTTCTGTTTTCCTGCAAAACATCATCCCCAAATTACAGACACCAATCAACATCACTATGCTTTGTTGGGTAATTACCCTAATAGCAGTGAGATATATGAACAGTTTTCTGAACCTCCAATTTAATATTCAAAATTCAACATCATAGAATTAAATTCCAAAAAATTTATCAATCGGATTGAAGTTTGAACCAAACCCAGCAATTAGCGACTGCACAATCGGAGCCCCACAAACTATTGAAGATTAATTTTACAAAATATGATGAATTAGAATTACCTTAGAACTTAACAAGGCTGTTCTGTTCCCATGCGACTAAAGAAATTCGAGGCCACAGCATCCCAACACCATTCAGCGTTGTAGACGACGATTCAGAGCCCTCGTTCCCAACGGTCGTAGTTCTACAAGGTCACTACAACACCAGAAGACGTCGTCGTTTTCCTCGAGTTCTGGAGAGGAAAATGACAGAGGACAAGAAATTGGGTCTTCTTGTGGTTCAAATGTTCACTTAATGAGCCCATTTTTCTCTTTGGGCTTTTGCACAATATCCCGAATGCAGTGGCCCAAAGGAGCTTCACTTTCATTGGACTTTCTTGTGTGTGTGAGCCTCTACTTTCTTTTTTCTTAATTTTATTTTTATTAAGGAAATATGTGCCTCTACTTAAGCTGGGCAATCCCCATTATCCATTTGTTTGTTCTTCTTCATGAGAAAATAGAGGACATCAAAATAATTGCAATTTTGCTAATAAACTTTTTTGATCTGTTATTGTTTTTGCAAAACAATAATTTTCATTGAAAGCTAGGTAAAAATTCAGAATACATACACAAAAAACACAACTTTAAATGGAGGTTCATGCAATGCAGAAACTCTAAAAGACATAAATAGATAGGCACAAACATTACAAGACTGTGAGAATAAAATATACAGCTTGAAACCCAACTCACTTGGAGTTATAAATAAGGAGGGCCCATACCCTAGCAACAACTAGTGCTTCAAGAAGATCAAAGCAAAGAAAAAATTTCTCAAATCGGACATTTCGGGACAAGAAACATTTCAAAATAAAGGGCACTAAGACATTCCAAAAAAACATCACAGTATCCCCAAACAGAGGTTTTTGCACTTTTAAAAAGTCATTATTCACAAATAAATGTGAGCCCGACTCAAACAACAAACATTCATCGTTATTGGATATGATTTGGGGAAGATGTCAATTAATTGATGAATCATCCTCCTAAAAAAGCACAAATTCATCATTATTGACCTTTGCTTAACCTCTAATTTTAGCATCCATCGTGTGACACGTGCTTCCAAGTCCCATGCTTAACAACCCAACAAAATAAAAAGTGAAAAAGCCCTTTTCTTTGGTACAACATAAACAAAGAAATTCCTTGAATAAATATAAGAAAGTTTCGATTTATTAATAAATAAATAGCCGGTGCCCACTGCCGCGGGTGCGCGCGCCCTGGCGCGCATGCAAGAGAAAAGAGATTTTGTGACCGTACGCACTAATTGACCGTTGGAGCTGCATCGGCTTTTCATGCGCCGTCACCGCACCGGATCCTCTCCCCACAGTTGCACACTCCCAAGGAGGTGCGGGAAACGCCGTTTAACTACCCACTGGCAGCTGCAAGCGTAGATTGCATTTCCACGTGCTTTGGCAGTGAAAACACGCGCTCGCGCGTAGGGTTTAAGCTTATCTCTCAACAGTCGACATCTGAGAGTGCCGCACCTTTGCGTCTGGAGGACTTTTCGTCCTTTCACCATCACCTCCTCCATCTCCACTCCAACTCAACTGAATTTTTTTTCCATCCTGGTGGATGGTCTCTCTCAGCGAAAAAGCACGGTCCTTTTTGCTAACTTACACCGGGATCACTCTACGCACACTCCGCAACCACGCCTCTGCAATGAGGCTCCGATCGTCTACGGCTCTCGCGCTGCTTCTTCTTCTTCTCTGCTCTTTCGTCGCTGTTCCTACCGGGTCGGCCGAGTCGAACGAGTCTAACTCGGTGGCGGAGGCCGCCAATGCCGAGTCAATTAACTCGTCGCGCGGGAGATCCACTGAGGAGGACAGCTTCGCCGACATGATTGATCGGGCTCTGGAGCGGGAGTTCCCTGAGAATGAGCAAAATCAAGGTTCTTTAGATCCGAGCTTCAATTCCTCGGTTTGCAATTTCCATAAATGGCTTTCAATTGCTGCTCTGATCGAATTGAATGCCTAACGGCCTTAAATTTCATGTTTGGCGTTGCATGCATTGTTAAATCGTCTGTTGGTGATGAAAAATGTGGAATTTAATTCGGTTGCTAAGTTGATTTTGTCATTGTTTGTCTCCTGTGGAAAATTTGAAGCAATTAATGACAGTAGATGATTGGTCTAAATTGTGTCTTCTTGTGCAGCCACGGATGCTGGTGGCTTCAATAATAGCGTTAATGAACAGCAGGTAGGCACTCACATGCTCTGAAATTTGCGATTTTTAAGTAATTTTGTTGGTGTTCGAGTTAGGCGAGTGTGAGAAAAACAAACAGAGCTTAAGAATTGCTGCATTCTTTTTTTTTTTTTTTTAACATGTGTTTGATATTTTCAGTTCTCTTAATCAAGGTAAATGGTCTGTAAGTTTGTAACTGGATGATAATCACCTAGAAGCTTATTTTGGGATTTAGTTGGTCGAAAAGAAACCATAGATAAACTTATTTCTTATGGAGATTTAAAAGTTAACACCTTTGACGCATTTTAATCTTAGCTACCAATAAAAGAAAATTCTTTAGATTGATCAAAGGAAAAAAAAAAGTTTATGGTGGATGCTATTTATGTAGACTTATCACTCCAACATTTCTTCTGTTGGATATGGCTTGAAGAGTCTATCTAGGCCTGTCAACAAATCAGGTTCTCGTATAATTCATCTGTATCTTATTAAATTAACTGGACAAGGGTGATGATTTGATAGGATTATCAGATTAGGATTTGAATTTTTCAGCTTAACACATTAAACATGGATCAAGGCTAATCCGATCCAACTTGATAGTATATCATTTATTTACTTTTATGGATGAGTGATTTTGCATAATCCTTGGCCCGAGATTGAAAGCTTAACTGTTTGTTTATTAGGCAGTTCTGGAAACCGTTGCTAGAGTTAAGTCCAAGAAAAATGACAGCAAGGAGGAGAAGTATGTTCTTCTATCTTGTGAACTGAAGATCAAATATGTTTGACTTCAATTTATGGAAGTGGTTGTAATTGGAATAGGAATACTTTAAGTGAGTTCGCTGACATCTTTGTGACCTTTATGTTAGGTCATTTCAGTTTCAGGATGTTTTCCATCTGGATAATGAGAATGGAGAAGAAGATATGCCAACTTTAATAGATCGGAAGGTATGCCTGCCATCTGTCATTGGATAATTTTATTGAGTTCACGATTCATTTATATTATTGTAATATAGATAGGTAACTGAAAGTTTAAGTGGATAAAAGTACATTAATGTACACACATAACAATTCTATGGTGACGATAACATACTGCTGTTTTGGATAATATATACACTGTCTTGTGCTTGAAGCTGATACTTTTCAGCATGCTGAAAGTTTTATTTTTATTTTATCAGGACAATGTCTTTATTATGTCTAATCGCAAGTCAAAATATCCTGTGCTGCAGTTGGACTTGAGGTCAGCTTATGTTTTCTTTATTATTATTTCCATTTCATTTATGAGCCACTGAAACTTTTGGCTGATATATCCTCTTCATATGTTCAGATTGATTTCGGATCTTGTAGTTGTCATTGTCTCTGCAACTTGTGGTGGAATTGCCTTTGCCTGTGCTGGACAACCAGTCAGTCCACTATCATAGCTCTTCGCTTTCTTTTATAATGAATTTCTATTTGAAGATTGGGAATTATCTTCTGAACTAAGTCCTGGCATCTATATGCTAAGTCTTTCTTTGCCTTTAGATCAACGTATTGTCCTAAAAGTCATCACTCACTACATTATGAATTTTTGTAGGTTATTACTGGATATTTGCTAGCAGGATCTGTCATCGGACCTGGAGGCTTAAGTTTTGTCAGTGAAATGGTGCAAGTATGTTGTCATATGATATTAAAGTATCTTCATACGCATTACTTCCATTTCCTTATTAAATTACATGCATGTAGGTTGAGACAGTGGCTCAGTTTGGGGTGATCTTTCTTCTTTTTGCTTTGGGCTTGGAATTCTCGGCTACTAAGGTTGGCTAGTAAATTTAATGTTGCAGTATTCCTTCTGAGTTTTGTTTGTCTGTTAATTTAGGCCATGATACTACTCATTCCTTTTCAAGTTTGCAGCTTCGGGTTGTTCGAATAGTGGCTGTTCTGGGAGGTCTACTGCAAATTTTCCTGTTTATGTGCTTGTGTGGAATAACAGCCTCAGTATGTCTGCATTTTAATCAACATTTTGTGTTACATATATATTGTGAAAAAAATACTTCAAAAGGACTTGTTACCCAATTGGAGTTTCCAATTTTCATACCTTGGACTGGGTATTTGAGGTAGTTATGTGTTTCTGGGGCTATGGAATTATACCATGTGCACCACATGGTAGTCAGGCTGGACTAAGCCTAGCCATTTTGCTCTAAGAGACAAGTGTAAATTAGTATTATACTTCAAAACATTTTGGTTCTCTTGCTTTCTTTTTTATGACTCCATGTTATAATTGTTTCTACTATCTTTCTTTCCACTTAGATCTGTGTGTTCAATGGATTTCTAATGTGACTACTGCATGCTATTTCTAGTTATGCGGTGGGAGACCTTCTGAAGGGGTATTCGTTGGTGCATTTCTTTCTATGTCTTCAACAGCAGTGGTGACTCTCTTTGCCCTGATATCTCTATATATTTTCTCATGTACCACTTATGTTTTTACCTCGGGGAAGTATATGGATTCATGACCAATTTAATAATTCTTGCAAATGGGTTGTGGGTGTCTTCATCTTATATTAATCTGACCTTAGTACCGCTTTACAATTGTTTGCATAGTATGCATAAAATTTTATTGTGTTCTTATTCAATATGAGGCGTTGATATGCAATTGGATGGACTAGTTGGTGCAATATGTATCTAAGTGGTGATACCAGAAAACAAGCTTGCCTACCTCTCCTTTTGTCAAATCTCATTTGTTTTCATGTATTCTTGAAACTTGATCTTCCTGTGCCACATCTTAGATTATGTATTGTTTCATCCTTTTTGGTCTGTAGGTTTTGAAATTCTTGATGGAAAGAAATAGTATTAGTGCTCTTCATGGTCAAGTTGTGGTTGGCACTCTTATACTGCAGGTATGTGATACCACAATTTCTCACTTTACAGCATCTATCACTGATAAGTTTCTGTATTTAAACAATGATTGAAGATTCAGGTTTATGATTTCTCACTGATTTAAACTTGTGCGTCCTACTAGGACTGTGCTGTGGGTTTGCTATTTGCTCTGCTTCCAGTTCTGGGTGGGAGTTCTGGTATTCTTCAAGG